TAATTATCAATGAAGTATGTTTTGGCTTTTTCAGGCAATTCTTTCCGTGTATTTTGAATAGCCATCGCAATGGTGTTATTTTCACGTGTGAAGATATCAATTTTTCGAAATAGAGAAAAATAGATATTTCATTGGTAATTATATAACAAATTTAACTATTCACTCGTCAAAAGAGCAGTAAAAATTCTCTTTACCAAGAGGCGGGAGAGACCGGCATCTGGTAATTGGTAGGATAGCATTTCGATTTGCTCAACAGTGGGCGCCAGACCTGCTGCCTGTAAGAAGCAAGAAAAAATTTTAAAAGTGACTATATGTAGAATTTGTTGAGTAACAGACACTTCCAATGCGTGCATAAAGCTATTAGAGACCTTTAGCATAACTGCAGATCGACGTCAAGTGTTTTCCGTCAAACTTTCAACATTTAGCAAAGGCGTCATAACGAAGTTGTTGCTGGAAGAGCCGCCATATTGAATTTATTTGATGCCGAGTGTTTCTCCGTGTTTGCAAGCGTGTTTCTGGGCCTGATCCCTAGCAGTTAGCGGTAAACCGATGCTAAAGGTCTCTAATACGTTTAATGAGACACCAACCTGAACCATCTCTGATGGTGTGTTCAAGAGTTTTTTCAGCGTACTGAAATCTCTGCCATATAACCTAAAAAAATTGCTAATGTTAAAACAGAAGTGATAGTCAGCAAACAAGATTTTTGACATGGTTTCCAAGACGGGGAAAACACTGAAGCAATGCTGTACTAAGCGTTGCTTATAGCAGGAAGATCGCACCATGCGTCCACTTTTTATAGACGAAAACTTTTGGAAATTTTTCTCACCAACCAATCCGATAGCATTAAATACTCACGTGGTTACTTCTCCCTCTGGATGTTCAGATCCATATCTTCCTGCCCTACCAGCGATCTGTTTGGCGTGAGAAGGGGTCAACTCATCCATCGAGTACCCGTCATATTTTTGCACAGTGTTAAAGACAATGCGCTTGATATTCCTATCGACACAAGAAAGAAAAAATACTAAGCGAAAATAGGCTAATCATAACTTATCATTTTAGTACTGTAGCGTAACGAAGAAAACACTACAGATAAATAAACCTTTTATTTTTAGTCGTGATACGGGGAGCCTTTTCCGTGTCTTCCTGGTCAGGGGCAACTTTTAAAAATCTTGCAGAAAATAAATTAGCTAGCATGTGACGTAGGCACAAGGGTGAATCCAGCCAAAATTATAGGGGAGCTAATCGAGTTTTTCCGTCAACACAACAGAAAACAATAAAAAAAGCATCTAATTCTTTAGTTATTTTTCTGCTGAAGGAGGGCTTCAGCTCCCCTTTGCCCCCCCCCCCCCTCCCCCCCGGATCCGCTCTTGAGGCAAAACAAATGAAAGATTTAAAAACTTTACAGCGAGAAAAGACCGCAAGAATCATGTGCAACGCCACTAGTGACTACAAGTGGCTGAAAGGAGTTAAAACAAGCCTCAAAATTACGGTACATACAAGTTTAGCCCCATTCCTATTGCGTCAGAAGCGACCAGTATCTTCTGCTCACTCTCGGGGTCATTGAACTTCGATGCTTGCTCTACACGGGTTGCTAAGGAAGGAACATCGTAGTACTCACTTTTAGTACCCAATGTGGTTCAGAAAAGAATCGGTAGATGGGTAAAAAAAAGCCAAGAATACTGTGTATAAGTATTTCGATTGGATGAACAGTAATATCGCGCACTGTGATTCGTTCAAAGGATGTCGTCAAATCCGTGTTGACTTGTTGTTTATTTAAGTCGGTGCCGTATGCATGCCTTGCCGCGACCGTGATCATCAGTCACTAGCAATTTGATTGGCGAATTGTTTTCTCTCGCAATTTGATTGATCTAGTAGTGCCGTGACCGTGTCGTGACCGTATCCGTGCCGTGCTCATGCCGTATTTCAAATTTGATTGGATGGAGAGTAAATTCTCGTGCAATGTGATTGGTCTTGCGTATGCCTTGCCCTGTCACGACCGTTTTCGTGCCGTTAGCTTTTCACAGTTATATGATAACTGCTCTACGAAATCTACGTTGAATTTTAGTAGCTCAATTGCTATCGATGGAGACTGAAGGTGCGCACTTTCGTCTCCACTTTGTACCAAAGCTACATGGGTTAGAAAGAAGTTAAACAAGTGTGTGAGATCACGGAGGATCGATGGTTCCAGCTTACTGACAAGCCAACCTTCGTGCAATGAAAGGTGCTAAATATCCATGAAAATATGAAAGAAACACGAACCTTAAGTCGTTCTCAATGGCACGCGCAGAATTTTACGATTTGCCTTCGTAGCAAAATAGGAGTTAGCGGACGTCAATCAAAGTGTTCCCATGACATTGTCGGAAAATGCAAAGCTTTCAAGGGCACGTGCCTATGAAATCTCATGGAGTGGCATTGATTGATATCCACTAAAACCGCTCGCTATTGAGAACGATTGAAGGTCATCCAGTAAATCCAGGAAGGATCTAGTGTCAGAATTACCAGGGGGAAGGCCGCCATACACGATGGCGCACTTGTTGTGTGTTGCTTTCTCGATGCGTTGACGAATAGTAAACAGTTCTTTTTGGGAAAAGGCCACCACGCAGTCACCTGGCTTGACACGTGTGAGATTACCTCCTGGGAAAACAAAAAAGCCTTAATTAGGAAATAGCAAGAAAGACGCCTTCTTTTATTTGATTCGCACACTGATCAACAAACAAGATTTTTAAATATAATTGCAAGGGCGGATCCAGGGGGGATGAAGCCCCCCTTTCAGCAGAAAAAAATAAAACAAAACTGAAGAATTAGATGTTTTTTAATGGTTTTCCGTTGTGTTGACGGAAGAAACTCAATTAGCGCCCCCCCCCCCCCCCCCCCCACCCCCCCCCCCCCCCCAAACTCAATTACCTCCCCCCTAAAATTTTGGCTGGATCCGCCCTTGACTTGAACAACCTTGCGGATGATCTAAGTCTGGGCATGAATAACTCACAGTTCCAATCCGATTCTAGCTTGTTAGGTTTTGCTGGGTTTTTTTCCCTACTCTTACCTAGATGCCTAGAAGAAACTGTAAGAGGTCCTAGACGATTGTACCTCAGCACCTGAAAGACAATTCAACGACATTTCAACAACATTTCAACAAGATCATAGACTTTCAAAACTCGAGCAGCGAACAAAATCAAAGTAAAAGTAAGATCCACAGTCAAACCGCTTCAAGCGTTCACACGTAGAGGTCATTAATGACTTTCCTTTTGGATTCTTGATTTCATTATTCAATTCGAACATTAAACATTTTAGCATGATCGGCAAGCTAAGGTTTATATCTTTTTTAGCAATCATTATTTCATTAAATTCATATCTACCTCCAGTTCATCACCACAGATGTCAGCCATACTTTGTATCAATTCTATAGCTGTGTCTTCTCCGCATAGGTGGATCTCTTCACTCACAAGTCCTGTTAGTCCAAATGCGCAAAAACTGTACTTTATCAGAGTGTGAAAACTTCAGTATAATTGGAAATCAATGGTAGCATAGAGGGGGGTACTCGCCTTTCACTACTGGGGTCTTGGTTCAATTCCTGGACTCAGTATAACATGAAGTAAGTAGAGTTTGTTGGGCCTCTTACTTGATTCTAGGGGTTATTTCTGGATTCTCCAGTTGTTTTCCGTCTGCAAAACCCACTATGCTAAATTGCCCTGATTTTGAGCAGCCCAGAGAATGTTTCAGAGTCTGATCTGTGAGTTAACCATGCCCTGACTTAGATTACCCCATAGGTTGTTTCAGGGTTCAAAGAGAGTGGATGACTAGAATCAGGCCAGAGGTTGTTTCATTTGAAAAATTCGAACATGTTAAGATAAACAAAAGGTACATACCTAGTAATGCTCTGGTCCACGCCCAGCCACGCCTTGGATCACTCATCATTTGAATCTCATCAATAACTGCACATTCATCTAGGAAAGCAAAATCTTTGAATACAAATAGCAGTGAGAGCTCTTGCCTCTCATCAATGCAGCCCAGGTTTAAGTCCCACCAACCTCTGTGTCGTATCTGAGTAGAGTTGTTTGTTGGTTCTTCAGTTTTCCTCCCTCCACAAAAATCAAATCCTGAATTTCAATAGTCCTTTTCACAGTTCCCTGCACAATCTTGAAAGGTAGCCTTGACTTTGTAGTGAAGCGAGACGAATGGTGACTTGCAATGATAGAGACTTTTTTTAACACCTTGGACAATTATTATTCACCTGTCTCTACCATTGCAAGCTCACTTCGATGCAAAGGCACGGCTACCTTTCAAGATGGCGCTGGGAACTGTGAAGGGGACTATTCTATCAAGGAACAAGGGCCATAGGTTTGTTTAAGAAACACTGGCTATTAAAGTGCTACCCTCATAAACAAAGACAGTTATATGAGCTATGTGCATAAATCAATAAAACATCAATCATAAAATTTTTTTTACAGCTTTGAGGACTATATATAAACCTAGAATATTCTAGCACATGTAGAATTGTCTTCCACTAAATCCATAACCAAAAACAAAGAACATACAAGGAATGTTTGTACTTGTCATCTCTACTGTACAAGCAGCATGTGATGATGGCTCCTCTGCTGAAACAGCCCAAAGCCTCTCTTCTCCAGTCAGCATGTCACATGGAACACCCTACACGACACAATATTACTATAAACATAAGATATATAGTCACTATATACATGTTTAATTGCCATTGTTGTTAAGAATTCAAAAAAAGTCCCATGACTCCCAGGAGTCAATTCCAGAAGTTGACAGTCTAAAAAAAACTTAAAGGGATGAAAATGAATAAAAATTGGAAATGACTTTAAACTTAATTAAACATATCTGTGTGGCCCCAATAGTAGCCAAGCAACATATTTTCTTCAAAGTTAAATGTGTTGGATAAAAATTATCAATTTTATGCAGCATATAAATTGTGAGTAAATGACGTCATTTACTCAACCCTATTGGTCTTTTCTCTTTTAACCCAAAATTTCTCAACTGCAAGTGGCTCCCAGCCAATATAAATTGTGAGTAAATGACATCATTTACTCAATTACCCTATTGTTCTTTTCTCTTTTAACCCAAAATTTCTCAACTGCGAGTGGCTCCCAGGCAAAAATTTTCACTAATCTGGTTTACATAATCATAATTGAGTCAAATTATCCATAAATACTTCAAGTATTCAGACCTTGAAAAATTGGGGTGTTTTCATTCAAGCGCCCCTTTTAAAAAAGGATTTCCAGTTTTTTGAATGGTCCATTGTTTGACACTAAGTCAATTACATTAGTCTTTAACTAGTTAATCTTTGCTCTGGACTAGAGAAAATTAGGATTTAAATACTAGATAATGAAAATTATTTTCATTGGTCGATTGTTAGTCAACTAATATTGGTAACCAACCAGAAATCTATTGGATGATCCAATAAAACAAAGTGACAAAACCTATATGGTTGCCACATTTATATGGGAAGCATGAATGGCGTAGCGGTGAGAGCACTCGCCTCTCACCAGTGTGACCCGGGTTTGAGTCCTGCTGAGCTCGGTGTCGTATGTGAGAAGAGTAGCTAGTTGGTTCTCTCCTGTGCTTCGAGGGTTTTCTGGGTTCCCAGCTTTTCTTTCTCAATAAAAATCAACTTCTAAATTCCAATTGGAATCCAGTGGAAGAAGAGTCACTTTGTTGAATCCACTGTTAATCCCATTATTATTATTTACATGAATATGGTAAACATTTTGTCCACCTAGTATATAATATGGTTGTCATGAAACCACTCTATAGCACAATCCATAATAAATAATAGTTCTTGATGTTATAAACTTTACTTACAGCATTGTTGGTTCTCTTGTATACTTCAGCTGCAAGCAATCTAAGAGGTGAGCAGTAAACTCCTGACTTACACGCTCTAAATCTTTCTAGAGCAGTATGTGTCTTGCCGCTATTGGTAGGACCGGCATGGTAGAAGATTTTTCTTTTTAATTTTCGAGCTTTTGGAAATCTAAAAGCAATTAAATTTTCAAGTAAACAATTGTTAGTTATCCAATCTGAAATGGATTATTATTATTACAGTTGCTCCTCTGTTAACCTCTTAGTTTCCAGGGTTCTTAGCAAGGTACTCACTCCGGCTACCAGTGGACATCTTATTTTTTCCCCATAAGATCAATGGGAAATAAGCAGCCAAATACTTAGAACAGTGGTATATTATTTTAAGCACCAGTAAATTCTCAGTGGCCAGAATTTTTTATTGCTATGGCCAATGACCAGGAAATTAGACACCTTCAAGGCCTTGCCTAGTATGATAAAAGGTGTCCACTGAATAGAAGTTTAAGCACCAGTGAATTCTCAGTGGCCAGATTTTTTTATTGTGATCGCCAATGACCAGGAAATTAGACACCTTCAAGGCCTTGCCTAGTATGATAAAAGGTGTCTAATATATTAGAAGTTTGTTTGTTTTACAGTAAACATAGGAGGGATAAAGGGTGTCTACATAATAATGTCCTGATATAGGTATCATTGTATTACTCTATCACTACTCACAGATCATGGGGTCCTCGCAGGTCAGAGATTCTTTTCACTATTTCTATGTCACAGTTTCGTGTTGGATAAAGTTCATTTGCATGTTTCAAGAAGAATGGAAATAAATCATGCAAATGTGCTGCAGAAAGAATAAAAGTAATTAGCGGACGTATCTCGATAGCAAAAAAAATATTATCGTATATGGAGTTTTGTGCCATGGTAATGGGGTGTGCATGCATTCAATAATTAACTAAAATTAAGGTTATGTATACACTGTTCTTATAATGGCTGATAAGAGCATGAAAATGAGGTCACCCAGGCATTAGTTCACGATAAGAAAATATAAAATGGAATGTGTTTATAGGACAAAAATGATAGAAATTGACCTGATGTTTTGACTTTAATTTGCACTATCCACATTATTTTGAATAAGCAGCCTTGCTCAGCCTTGCAAGATGACTGGGTGATGTTGTTTCCATGCTTTCGTCAGCCATTACGAGAATGGTGTATTAAAGAATAGAGCCTACCATGATCGGAATTAATAGCACACATAACACTGTGCAGACCAACATATTTTCTAAACTGTGTTCTCATTCTTTTTCTAAATAAATTTGTTGCTTTCTTGAATTGATGATCTGCAAGCCAATCAAAATATTGCAACACAAGTGGATGGATGGATTAGTGGCTGGATGGTTGGATGGTTGGGTAGATAGATGGATAGATAGGTAGATGGATGGATTGGTGGTTGGATGGGGTGTGGATGGATGGATGGATTGGTGGTTGGATAGATGGTTGGGTAGATGGATGGATGGATTAGATTGGTCTTGGTTGAATGGATTGGTGGTTGGATAGATGGTTGGGTAGATACATACATACATACATACATACTTTATTCGTCCTCT